TATGTCCATTTTTTTATATAACTGTGTTCAATTGTTTAAAAACAGCATTTCGAGTCGTTTCAATTTTCGTAACAAGCATTTCAAGCTGAGCTTTTGATGAATAGTTTAATAACAATCAATGTAACCCATTATGTATTTAAGTATTGTTTCATAACTATTTATCCATGTTTAACAAAATAAATCATTCAAAGGTATAAATTAGTACATTTTAAATTTCCATATATGAAAGTTTCAAATATACAAATTATATTAGGATGTGAATTTACATATATATATCTAGTTTGAAAATTGATATTTTTCATATTTAAAATTTATAATTTAATTTGTTCAACTGTAAAAATTTTAGATATACAAGTTAATGAAATTTATGTTTCTTAAAACCTTATTTATATTCCTAAAACTTTAATCTGAATATTTAGCACTAAAACTTGTATGTTCAATTTATATTATTAAAGGATTATTATAAATCTTTTGGTTATAAGCTAATTGGTCTTTTTTACATAAGTTTTAAATTATAAAACATTTCTGTCCACTTTTATTGTAAAATAACTAAAACTGACAAAACGTTTAAGCTATAAGAAATATTTTATCAAATTTTTCAAATAATCAAAATTAATTATATTAATTATAAAAGTTTATAAAATTTAATTATGGTAAAAAATTTTAAATTTTGTATACTTACCTCTTTAGCTCGTACGCTTAAAACTTAAACTTGTATATTAAAAATTTTAAACTTATATTTTAAAAGTGTTATTATAAACCATTTTGGTGTGGCTAATATATATGTTCCATCATAAATTTTAAATTTTACATTTTTATGCATCTTTTTTAAGGTAAAATAACTAATACTGACATAGAGTTCGAGCTACAAGAAGTAAGTACACTATACATGTTTAGTCAAAATTAATTCACAGCTAAACTTTTTCTTTAAACTTTGACTACCTTATTCTGTCGAACCAAATTAGAGCGTGACAGTGTGAACTGCTAGATAAATCTAACTCATGTTATAGTTTTCGGAAATGAAGATGCGATATTTATCTTATCAATTTTGTTTCATCTCTTTCTTTGATACACGCATAATAAATTCGATTGTGTTTGCTTGACATTTTATATCAGATTCTCAAAAAGTCAAAATTTGATATACCATATGAATATAAAACATGTAGTTTATCATAAATCGATATATCAAACTTTCCTCTTCATTTACTTTAAAAAAGAGAGCGCGAGTAGGTAGATTATTTTTATTGTTCAGCAATTCAAGTGCTGGTTCGGAAAAAAAATCTAGACCACAGTTTTATCTTGCTGAGAATATCAAAACATTTACCCGGTTGTTTGTTTAATTACTAATAATATACTTTTAACTCATATTAACTCTAGAAACTATTTTAATATAAAATATAGTCATATATATATATATATATATATATATATATAGAGAGAGAGAGAGAGAGAGAGAGAGAAAGAGAGAGAAATACTCATGAACAAAAAAATTAGCGCGCCAAGGAGTCGTCAAAATGAAACGAAATTTTACATACGCAATGACTATATTTTGATGAAAGTAAATTAGTATTAGAAAATCAAAGTAAAACGATAATCTTTGATTTTCCAATCATTTACTTACATCAAAGCAGTCATTACGTATGTAAAATTTCGTTTCATTTTGACGACTCCTTCTTGGTGCGCTAATTTTTTTGTCCATGAGTAAATCGATATATCAAACTTTCCTCTTCATTTACTTTAAAAAAGAGAGCGCGAGTAGGTAGATTATTTTTATTATTCATCTATCTANCGAATTAAAGGATTATTTTCTGAAATTCATATGTTAAAATTCTTGGAAATATACTCATTAAGGAAATCTCAAAAGTGCCCAGGAATCTAAGTGGCGTCATATTTTTGTACCAATCAAGATCTCTAAGTTTTTTCTATTGAATTACGTGTAATTACGTAAAGAGACGTCTTGCAACCCTAATTCCCTTTCTATATCTCTAAATAAAAAGCGGGACGCATCGAAACGTTTCATATTTTCATGGCTATAGTGCTATGTAATCGATACAGTGGAAAACCCCAATTTTAACTATAGAAACCATCAACTTAAAGTTTGAAGTGAAAGTCACTTAAAATCATTTGTCTCTTTATTTGAAATAGCCCAAGTTTCTAATACTTAATAGCCATTATATGACATCGTATGATAGAGATTTATACATATATAATGTTTACGGAAGAATTACAATACATCATAAGTACAATATGTTTTCAAAATAAGTTTCCTTTTTCCTTAAATGAGGAGTTTTTTATTATTACTATTATTATTATGCATATATGCGTTTGGAAAATACTCTTCACGATGTAAAAGATTTTATGGAATGCTGCATTGCGTTTACCGAGATCAACGAGTATGAAATCGCTCTTTTTCCACCCACAACGCGGAATAAGATGACCACCCTAACCCTCAAAAAATAAATAAATAACATAAAAAAGAGGAAGTGAGCACCCTATTGTGAAAAGATTATGTTTACGTTCTAGCTTTCCTGTACACCTGCGCGATATAAAGAAATAATTTCAATATGCACACAGTATGCGCTGAGGATGTGTGTACTTGAGACTTCGTCAAGAACATTTTGTATGGAGAGGCACCATCTCTAATTTCACCACAATGTCTCTGCTTTTTAGTAATGAAAGATATCGGAATTTCTAAATAACCATATATTGTTATAAAATATCACTATTTGGCAATATATCGCGATGTTTTTCAATTTTACAAGTTTGCTTTTTTATGTTGGTCAAATCATGAATCAAATGGGAAAAAAATTAAAAGAGAAATTGTGTTAAGAAATTCACATACGCATTCTCATCTGCACACAATATAGCAGGAGATGTGTGCTCTTGATTTCATTAAGAACTTTTTACATGGAGAAGCCCCATCTCTAATTTCAGAATAGTATCTCTGTTTGTTAGTGATGGAAGGTATTGGAATTTCAATATAGCGATATATCGTTATAAAATATCGTTATTTGACGATATATCACAATATTTTTTCAATTTTACTAGTTAATTTTACTCTTATATTGATCATATCACTGATCAGAGGAAAAAAAATTTAAAAGGAAAATTCTCTTAAAAAATTTATATAAAATATACACATAGTATAGCTAACGATGTTTGCTCTTGATTTCATTAAGGACTTTTTGCATGGAGAGGCAGCATCTCTTTTTAATGATAGTATCTCTGCTTGTTAATGATGGAAGAAATCGGAATTTCAATGTGACCATCTATCACTATTTTTTCCATATTTACTATATTACTTCATTTTTGCTTTGTCCAAATCACTGATCAAGTTTAAAAATATGAAAAATAAAAATGGCTCATGTTACTCTTATATTGATCATATCACTGATCAGAGGAGGAAAAAATTTAAAAAAGAAATTCTCTTAAAAAATTTATATATAATATACACATAGTATAGCTAAGGATGTTTGCTTTTAACTTCATTAAGGACTTTTTGTATGGAGAGGCAGCATCTCTAATTTAAGGATAGTATCTCTGCTTGTTAGTGATCGAAGAAATCGGAATTTTAATATGGCCATATATCGCTATTTTTTCCATATTTACTATATTGCTTCATTTTTGCTTTGTCCAAATCACTGATCAAGTTTAAAAATATGATAAATGAAAATGTCTTCAAAATTTCTGAACACAACTCAAAAGCTAGCTGTGGAACTAGCGCGCTCAAGATAGTTTTGCTATTAATAACTATAGTGACATTATCGAATTTGATATTTATCATTTTCGATAATAATTTTTGTGATCTTAATATTGATCTAAAAACATCGATAATTTCCGAAATATCGCTCCTCTCTAGCTTTACTGCCTATTACTTCCTTATTTCTTGTAACTACAATTCAACTGTGCTGGCAAAAGTTAAAAATTACCCGATAATTTATAAATTTCTTTCTAAAGAATTGTTTTTAATCGCTTAATGTTTTTTTTAAACTGTAGTTAATGCGTTCTTTTTAAAGTCGTAATTCATTTGAATATTTTATATTTTGTTACTATTATTTTTAAAAATTGCTTCTTATATTGCTGGTGTTGCTTTCAAGTGTTGCGGCATTAATATCGATACATTTTACCCATATGTTTTTTAAAAAATATTAGGTATGAAAATTTACTAAATTCTCAAATTATTGGTGTATAGCAATTTTTAATAATTCGAAAAAGTGTCTTCATCATATAAATTGTGCTCTTTTTTTTCTGACTTTCAATCGTTACTTTTTCTTACCCGCAGAAATTTATTAAAACGCTTTTATAATTATAAATTATTTCACAATAAATATTTTATTGTTTAACAAAATGGAAAATCAAGTTTCGGCAAACTTGTTTGCAAAATGCGAGAATGTGAATTTTTTGAAGAAAGCAATCAATAACGATTAAATGTAATCGGTAAAAGTAACGGAAATATAATTAAAAATAACGTTAGTAGTCATTAAATAAAACTATTCCTTTCTCCTCAAGCGTTTTCTTTTTTTTTATAATTATGATTACATTTTTTATCAGCTCGAGAAACCGTATTGAGAGCATTGAATTTAGAGCGTCACTAGTAGTATCCTCTAAACATGTTTTAAGTCATTGGAGAGCCTTGTTCTCATATAATCCTCATCATTTTGACATTTCTTTGAAAGAAATTCTCTTTTCTGTTCCGCTTTTCGATTACCTCATGGTCAGTCATGAAGTAGTGACCGAGACCTTCTCTAATCGCGAAGAACTGCAAAAATTAAAGCGCTACAGCGCCAATATTGGACTGACATAATGAGAGAAAAAAGAATTCACCTGTCGGTCTCTGTTGGAACCTGACCCAAAGGCAGTAAAGAAGCTCTCTCTCTCTCATTCTCCCTCACTTTCTATTGGCTCTCGATTTGTGACGTTTCAAACAAGTGTATGCGCATGCGTTACCTCCTCATGCACGTTGTGTCTTTTCCGATGGATGGCCACACTTTGGCAGGACTCTAGTGCGTACTGGAGGTAAGATCTATTTTTGGTTACTGTCAGATTTGTCAGCTCTCTTGGCTCCAAAAATCTTTTCCCTGTTTTCATTTTTTTTCACTTTATCATGCTTTGTTTTTGTTGAGGCATATTTTATTTCAAAAAGTTTAATTATTTTATTGGGTTGTAAAATAATTATTTGGTATAAAATTTTTAATTATTTATTTCCCCGCTTGTGTTTGCATTTTCCCGCGGTTTTGTTTTCTAACATTCAAATAGTTATTTTCTCATTGCACGTGCTTGAATACTTTAATTTTATTTTTCTGTGGAAAATGTTTTAGTTTAATTTTTATATTTAATTTTATATTTGCATATTTTTTTAGAATTCCATTTTTCGCGCATTAATATAATGCCTTTTTAAAAATTTATTTTTCCTTGCTTCCTTATTACATCGGTAAAATTTTCAATTTTTTGCAATTTGCACTTGAACTCCATCTTATTAATATTTATATTACTTCAATCAATAAAAATATCAGTAGTCTTTCCTTTCATCTTTAATTTTCTGTACCTTACTTTAAATATTTAATAGTTGAGTCCTCAATATTTAAATTTATTCCACTATAATTCCCTGCTTATTGGCATTGTAAATACTTTCCTTTTTACCTAGTTGTATAATTTTTATAAAGTAAACAAAACTTTTTATTGTTTGTCTGTCTGCGCGTTTGAAGCTGGTCTGTCGACAATTCATACATATTATTACAAAGTGAATTTTACGTAAGTTTTATTTAAGTTAAATGTTTTCTAAGAAAATAATCCTTTTAATGTGTGACAATGCTTAACGTGCTATTCATGTTGTTATCATCTTGAATAGTTATAAATTAAATCTGTACTTGTATAGCTATAAATTAAATCTATGTGCAACGAAAATCCGTATTTTTTTAATTATCTCGCGTAATTATAAAATATAACTGTCGGTAATTTTATATTTTTATGTGAATATGTTTTGTTTAGAAATTTTAAATACTTCTTCTGTAGACCATGAAATGTTAAACACTGTAAAAAAAAATCCGGATCAAATTGCATTAAAAGGACCGGCACTCAAAGTGCCAGAACATTTTACAGTAAAATCTATTATACCGTAAAATTTTACGGAACAGAAAATTTAATGTACCGTAATTTTTACAGTAATATTTACTGTGAAATTACTGAATCACTGTAATTAAATAAATATTACTGTAAAAATTACGGTATATAATTTTACGATAAAAATAAATTTTACAGATGTTGCACTCAGGTGCCAGTAATTTTTACCGCAATTTGATTCGGAATTTTTTTACTGTGTATATAAACGCATTCAATTTAAATGCAATAGTTCAATTCATGTAACAATTTGAGTTCTTGAAAGAGAAATATCCAATTTTGGAAACATTCACTACTCAGATTTATTCATGTAAAGTGCTTTATTCATATAAATCTAGTGTATATGAAGGTTCTTAGGCTTCTCCGAAATCCTGTTTAAACAGTACTAAAGTGTGATCATCCAATACTTTCAATATACTCAGCCATTGCAGTGAGTGGAAAATCGTATAAGCTCTTCAAAAGTCCCCTGTAAATGTGCTTTTACTTTCTTCTTCCTGCAGAAACAACTTAAACTTATTTTTGCGTTAGCACCCTTTTTGGGGAACTTTTTCGCACTTCTTATTTAAAGTGTTTAAATATGTATTTCTAATTTCAATATTTTTGAGCAAGTTTAAATGTTTACAGAATGTATCTACATACAAAATTTGTTTGAATTTATAAAACGAAGTATAAGTTATTAAGAAACTTTGGAATTTTTATAGTAGTATCGAATTAAACAAACCACTATTTTTATCTTTCTCAAAAATTGCCAATTAATTAAATTTGATAATATTTCGATTATGACGAAGTAATAGTGCGCTTATTGTCCTTTAACGACAAACTTTTTTTAAAACATCCCAAGTGTTGTAAAAATGCATTTCGATAATAATAAAAATTTAGAAACTAAATTTAACAACTACTCCAAATAATGTATGCTGACATTGTCATTAATCGTATATTGTTTTTCTTTCAAAATAGATTAAACATATTTTTTTTAAAAAAATTTCAACGGGCTACATTTTCACCAAGAATTATTATTTACTGAATCTTACAGGGTTTTCTGAACTGTTGTACTTTACTTTTTGGGATTTGCGTTCTTATGTTTCTAGGTTTAATATAAGTAGTCATAAGGTTTTTAAACGGTGTTTTCTAAAAATGTATTTTTATATATGATTAAAAAATATTTTTAATGGCGGAGTTTTCCAGTGGCATTTAACTAGTATCAAGATTTGGAATCTGGATAATCTACTTTTCCTAACTATACGTCTTTTGTTTATACTCAATGAAGGATTATACAGCGGAATAGTGAATAGAGTTTCATTATTAAAACTTATAGATCATTTGGACAAAAATATCGAATGAATTTACTGAAATCTTAATACGGTAGCAAATTAAATCATAGTATGGTGCACATTAATCTATATTAAACTTGATTACATGATACTATAGTTCAATTTGGACTCTCAACTCGTTCAAATTTACCACCCTAGTAAGTTTTATTAAAATTTACACGATGTTATGGTTAATTATTACTAAAATTTGCACGATATTATGGTTCTAAAATACCAACATCGCGGCTTAATGTTAAACTAACTTTTCTGAGTTCGTATTCCCCCCCCCCTCGAAAAAAAATGCATTATAGTTTTCAATTGTTTTATTTTAAAACCAAAATATGTTTTTAATGACAAATTGTTTTAATATTTACTATTTAAAGATAATATGAGCTAATTCAATCTAGTTTCATGACTTTATTATCGTGAATGAATTGCTGGTTCTAATTAACGACTGGCGTTATTTATTTATTTATTTAACCAAACATTGTAATTTTTAATTCAATTCAGTATGCAAAGAATTTTTTTTTAATAATTCAGATAAACGTGCAACTAGAAAAGAATGGGAAATTAACAAAATCTGCGTTCCATATGTGTGAATGCGTGTGAATATGGCTTGTTTCTTTAAAAGGGAGACTTAACTATTTGCCAACCGGAAGATATTTATATTTCTGGTAAAATTTCCGTACTTGTATGGTAATAACATTTCTAGTAAAAATAATAATAATAATTCTGGTAAAAAAAATACGCTGTTCTCAAACCATTCATTTGGTAATTTTTCTGTCCATCTGGTAATGGTTTACCGGAAATTCTGTTTTTTAAAATTATAGTTTTTATTACCACACATATAGTAAAAGTACAAAAATTAAAAGTAAATGAAATCGAATAAATAGTTTTTTATGACATGCTCTAAAGTAACAGGATAGGATTACCAAATTTTACCAAATTTTCTACCAAAGAGCACGGTAATAAAACCATATTTTATTGTGAATTTCACCAAAAACCATATGGTCTTGGGTAAAAATTACCACTCTTTTTGGCTTTTCCATAGAGCCAGAAACACGGTAAATTTTACCATATTCTGTTAGACCATACTTTTTTCCAAGTGTAATATAAATTATAAAATCAATTTTACAAAACAAGTAATATTTTTATACATTTTTTTAAAATATTGGCTCATCCTGAAATTACCTATATTATTTGAAGTATTTCGATTACTCTTAATGAAAATTCTTAATAGTAGTTTCTTAAATTGTTTCCAATTTTAAATCATATAATAATTTAATATTTTAAATGATAATTGATTATTTCTAAAATGAATTTTTTTTAAATATATACATATTAAAATAATCATGAATATATTTTGCATCATAATTTATAATTGTACGTTGATTGATAATTTGAAATAATATTAAATTTTTATTTTATTTCCCTTGAAAATGTTTAATTCCTATTATAAGTGTACTAAAATATTTATTTTCTTTTGCAGCTTATACCCTGTTATAAACGAATGATTTAATATTGTACTTCTATTGTGGTCTATAATAAGCATAAATGGGAAAATCTCGTCTGCATTAAAACAAGATATTAAAGGTAATTAGCATTTTTGATTATTGAGTATGAAATGTTATCAAAATGTTTCATTAACATTAAACTCACGACCCATAGATATTGTTTATTATTTACAACAGTAATTTAAATTTTCGTGTGTATTTTATTTAGTACCCCAGTACTCCCAGCACCATATAGATGAGATTTGTCAATCTTTTTAGTTTTTAAAATTTTAAACTAAAAAATATTTTGGTTCATTTGACAATTTTTAGATTACTCTAACTTTTTATTAACTATTATAAAATATTTTTGCTTCAATTCTGTAGACTAACGCTTAATTGTTATATCTAAGAAACTAAATGCAGTAAAAGTTACGGTTGAATGAAATTATTTTCTGGATTGGCCATTTTGTCGCAAAATTTCCTTGTTCGAACCACAACTAATTTTCGAAACATGATGTGCTCTCCATTTTCCCAAAAGGATATTTAGAAGTTCATTACACTCTGCTCTTTATTTCAAAATTGAGAATATTTCGGTTAAATTTAATCAATTGTTTTTGTTTTGAAGATTTTTTGAGTATTTTTTAATATATTATTTCTCTATTTTAGTTATTTTTTTTTCTGAAAATCTTAAAACTATTTTTGAGTTTTTAAAAAATTGCTGAAATACGTAAAAATGTTTTTTTTTTTTTTTCAACATTTTATTTACAGACAAAATGTTTAAGACTTTATGAGGTGATGAAATCATAAAATGTCTTCGTTGGATTCGATATGAGTTCCTTTTTTATACATTTATTTAATTATAATTTCTTATTATTTCAACTTGACGGCAGATATTAATTCTAAATTCGCACATAATTACCATGAAACTGTATTCTATATAAAAACGTGACATTTGAATTTAAAAATTTTATTCACTATTACTGTAAGCAGTTAAAGTATTAAATATATTTCTAAAGCCATTGAATGAAAGCAAAAAGTAGTATGAAAGGCATTAAAGAAAAGCAAAATTCATTTCCGCACGTGTTAAGAAGAGATGATTTTCCCGCTGTAATACAGAGCCATCTATTGGCATCGGATAAAGATATTATTTTATTATAAGTTATGAAGTTATGTCAATGCTTACTATTTTCTTGAATTGTCGAAAAACTACTAGATTTAGTATATATATATATATANTATATATATATTCTGAATTTATTTATGGTTTAAGGTTTTTATTTCATGCGGAGTTTTTTTTTCGTACTTTAGACTATATCTATTACAGTATATGTTGTTTTGATCACTCCGGAATATTAGAACTTGTCAACTTTACAACAAGATGATGAGTTGAAGACATTTAAAAAAAACTAATAATTTATAATAATTGTAATAAATTATTTTTACTTTTATTTTTTTTTAGCTTTTTCATGCGGTGCTATGGTTGAAATTTCTTAATACAATGTTATGATGTTTTATTAAGATTTTGTATTTTTACCAACTGAGGTGCTGAATGTGGTTACTTTTCTTCTTTAACTTATAACAACATCAAAGTTAATCCAAAAATAACATGCCCAAAGTATCATATAATTAAATTAAAGTCAACTTTAAGCTTTTTTTTTCGTTTTTGTGACATACACTGACACTCTTTATAACAAATACCATAACAAACCAACTGTTCACTTAAATTTTAAAATAGTAAAAAGTCCTTAAATCTCGTATTAAAATTCGTTTTCAACTCATGTGTGGAACCACGAGTTAAAGCAAATAATAAATTTACATTCAGTCAATTTGTTACATTTGTCTATTTAATTTGGGTTTTACAAATATAAATCTTATTTTTTTACTTTTAATTTCTATAAAAAATTGTGCGTGTACATCTTTGTTTTGTGGTCAGATAATTAAAACTATTGCTTTTTATAAAGCGTAAAATTTATAATTACACGCTGTTCGACGGTGGAGAAAAGAGGATTATTTTTAATGATCTAATGATTCTAATTTTCCTCAAATTTGTATAGTTCACTGCTTGATGAATCCCCATGATTCCCCTGCTTTTAGGGTGTATTAATTAAACACCCAAGATGATAAATCATCACATACAATTCTTAATAACTATATTTTCATCGAATTCTAATTTTAAATGTTCGAAAATAAGATTTTACATAGTTTGACAAACTATTACATCCGAGTAAATGATTGCGCGAATCTGAAATTTTTGTCCAAAATAAAATTCGTCAGTCATTAGATGATTCTTTTTTTTTTAACTAATGTTTCTTGGTAATAGTTTATTAATTTTAGCTCATTTTTAAGCATTATGCCTAAAATATTTTGTTAGTTACCGATGTAGCAATCAACATAGAGATTCGTTATACAGAGAGTTAATTATAAAGCTTGCATATCATTTCATTTAAACTTATTTTTGTATTAAAATCATGCATAATATGCTTCAATTTCTTTCTTTGTGCCTAGAGTTCTTTTAAAAAGAAGGCCCATTTATCAAAAAAGAAAAAATGGTTACACAATTGTTTCATTATAAGTATTGATTTTGACAAAACAAAACTGTTCCGTCTACCAAAATATTTTAATAGCATAAATATTTATATTTAAATCTAAAGTCAATACGCAATTCTTTTCAAAACTAAAGTTAGTATGGCAAAAAAGAAATATCCAATTGGTATGTACAATCATGTACGATCAATTTCTGAAGATAAATAAAGTCGTTTTTCATATAACAAACCTCTTTCTAGAGCCGATCATTATTGGGTTATATAAATTACGATTTTTTTTTTAATTCTTATTTATTGAAAACAGTTTATGTTACAACTTTTATTAACAGCAATAAATTTTTTACTTCATTCATTTAGTCGATCACACTTGAACTGTTTGCAATTTTTTGTTTTAAAAGTTCGTAATGATGTCAAAAATACAAGTTAATCTTAGTGTTGGAGTCAATGCTGGCGAATATCCTGAGAAATTTTTATTAGTTTTCTTCTGACCCTCATAAGAAAAAAAAAGAAAAGAAAAAAGGAGGTTAGTGACCCATTGCAGTTCGAACAATCCTTTTCACGATGTCCAACTGGATCTTTAAACTAAGGGACAGGCGTGAGTCTGAAATCTCCAAAAGGAACAACAAACCGTGCTCTAAATTTCTAAGTTCTTTTACCTTCTCTGATGTGCAAGTTAAATCTCCTTCTTCTAGGTCAATGTTTCACCAAAAGTAAAAGATGCCCTGAAGGTAGTTCTAAACTTTTGCCTCAAGCTTCTCTTCGATTTTTACTTGAAAGATTCGAAGGTGAAATACAGTCATCGAAAGTTGACTACGAGCATTTTATATTTTACTTTCCTATTTATTACGCAGTGAAATGGTTCTTCGGAAGTGATTGCTGATTACTTTCCAAAGAGTGTTTTTTCCTTCTCTTGTTTCTGTGGGGGTTTTTGGAAGAAAAAACTAGGTTTTCTTTCGATTTCCTTCACTTCCTGCTTTTCGAACTACTCGTAGTTTTTCATTACGATATTTTTCTTATCCTTTTTACTGTTGCATGTGATCGCATTATTGCTCTGTGTAGGGCGATTACGAGTCTTTTTCTAAGGTAAAGAAAATCATGCATTGGGCTGACCGTTTACTTTTCTTAGGTTCTAATGACTACTTCCCAAACTGCATAGAATAGAGATATGCAGGCATGTTAGATAATTGTGGTCAACTTACCTCTTAGATGACCCCCATTTTGATTAGTGGAAATTATTATTTAATATGGTAACATAGGCGTCGCTTAGGGGGTTTTTTTCGAATTTTTAAACCAGTCCCTTTTTAAAGAGAAAATATTTAACTTCCCAATTAATATAAAATTTATTCAAAAACTACTAATTTTAAAAAATTACTTTTGAAGAAATAATGAATACTCCTACGCTTTTTTTTTTAAATGAATGCAATGCAATATTTAACAGAATTATTTAAATGTCATTTTATAATATATAAACCTCTAAAAAGATAGGAAATGTAAAATAGAAATATTGATGAATAATGACTTGGATTTATTAAAAATAAATTTGAAAATAAAGTGAATTTATTTTTTTTAAATTTTTTGATATTTAAATATTTTCATTTATCTGACTATAGCATTTAACGTGCATGGTTCTTTTATGAGAGCAATTCAATCTGATTAAATCTAAAATTAAAAGATATGACGATTAAATTTAGCCGATTGAGGATTCGCATTAAACTAACAATCATCTTGATACTTGAAAAATAATACTTTTAAATTTCAGAACTACTAAAATATCTACCAAAAACAATTTTTAAAGCATACCGTAAAGCATTAATCGCTGAGAAGTAAGTAAAGGCTTCACAATTTCGGGACCAATAGTATGATTGTGGAACTGAGGCCAACATTGCGCGTCGACCGCGTTTACTTCCCAGACAAGCTATTGCCCATCAATCTAAAGCCGAGTGGGCTTCAAACCACCATGAGGGATATAGTCTCAATAGTTCACAATGGCAACCATAAATCCTACTATACCTCGTCTTTAAGAACTAGGTTAAATTTGAGGAAAATGATAATGAATGTGAAAACAAAAATGTGTAATCACAGTTATCATAATCAAAAATCACAAATGCTTATATTTCTTATAAATTTTTTTTTCTTCATTGCAATTGACTTATGGAACTCAAATACTCGATAAAATCGGTTCAATATTGAACCATAATATCGGTAATTTGAAGTATCGGTAGTTACAGTAATAAAATGTTAAATTGAACCAAGTATTCCGTTTAAGTTAACCATAGTATCATGTAATCTACTTTAAGGAGTACAATACAATATGATTCATTTTAGGGGGGAAATCGTACAAATTTGCTACACTTATATTAAAAGTACAAAAAGTTTGAACGATATTATGGTTCAACGCTCTCTAAAACTTCCAACAGTTTAGAGTAAAAAAGAAATTTTAAACAATTAATTATTTAATTTTAGAATTATTCTAATTCTAAACCATTTATTTTAGAAACATTTTAAGAATTCTCATAATATATCTCAGACATAGATTATTACCCTTTTTTAAATAAAA